AATTCCAATACTTAAAAATTTTAATCTCGGGGTTAGTCTTGCGTAATATAAACACATACGGATTTGTGATTAACTCTGATGATTACCGAATCGGTTTTCTTTTGCATTCCGATAAGTAAACAACGAAACTCGCTCTTTCTAATCGGAAAACTGATAAATTAATACTTTCAATAATTTCTAAAGTCTCTACGTCGAGTACAATAAACTAATATTTAAACAATAGTATATGTGTTTAAACATTAAAAAGACGTAGACGAATGAGAAACTTAAAATATTTTTAATATAATATTTTTGATAATTTTTCAACAATTTCTAAACTCTAAAGAATAGTACATTCACTTAATTATTAAAATTTCAATACTTAAAAATTTTAATCTGAGGATAATTTATTGGCTTTGTGTAAAATAAACATATATGTTCTTTTTAATAACTTTAACGATTATTAAGTTAGTTTTCTTTCGCATTCCGACGAGTGAACATCGACACTCTCTCTCTCTCTAAATGTGAAAACTTGTCTTTTCTGCAAGAATCAACAAAGGGTGAAAAGAATTATATCATATATCACATATTTCTTGAATAATTTATACAATTTATTTTCTTTTAAATTTAAATTTTGAACTGATGGTCATTGACTACGTGTGACGTCAACAAAATCAAACCTTTGATCGACGTTGACGGTTACCGAATTAGTCTTCCTTTGTGTTGCGACTAGTAAACATTGAAGCTGTCACAGTATCTCTTTCTTGCAAGTAGCAATGAAGATTAAAAGTAAGTCCATTTCTATATCATACATTTCTTGAATAATTTATACAATTTCTTATTATAACAGTGATACTAATTTCGTTTGTATTTTTCTATTTTAGAACTTCATTGCAATCACGCGCGTAGCAATGAAATAATCGAATGTTTGTATTGCTAAAATAAAAATATCGTAAAGTAAAAGGAGTGTATTGTTCGTCCGCGTTTCGTGATTTAAACAACAATTGTTATTGCATCGACTGCATGCAATACAATCTTTAGAGTCAATGTTTATTCGCAAAGTTTATTGCTTTTTTAACAATCGCACAGACTGTATTTATAAAAGATAGTGAAGTTTTGCGAATTAACTTCAGTGATCGTTCGTTAAAAAATAACTATCGCGTAATAGAGTCAGTGCATCATTGAAAAAGATCTCGATCAGCTTCGATATCGATCTACCTCATTTTCAACCAGCTGTGAATTATTCATCCTCAATTTCGACCTAAATCGCAGACGAGTGTTTTGGAACCATCACAGAACTTTTTAAGTAGTAAGTGAATTTTTAAGTCTCTCCGATCACTCAATCATGTCGAGAACGAAAGATTTAAATCGGTACGAGTGATTGATTGGAATTAATTAGTAGAAGAGTATTGAGTGACGACGAGTAAAATTTTTTTTAAAAAAAGAGATTTACTCATGAGTAATTCTTTCTATTTTAATTTATTTATCAAATTAAGATAAGGTCTTTTTGTTCAAATGCGTTAATTATAATTATTTGAAATTTTGATTATTTTAATGCATTATTAAATATTTTTCTCTCGCGAAAATAGTAAAGAATCATTATTCACAGATTCTAATAAGGAATGAGCGAGAAGAAATTCGCGATGGATAGTCTCTGGAATACAAGCGAAATTGTATGATTTGTTTTCTAATAATCATAATAATCACTTGTAAGAAGGAACGTCCAAGAATATTTTATTATATTTTTAAACAAAAATTAATCAAATATTTAATCAATTTTGTTGGTAAAAGAAAAGTTTCGATAGAGTCTTCGCAGTACTGTCGAAATAAAATCGATCGTGCGAAATAGATATAGATTTAAATTCGGAAGGGAATATTAAAAAAGAAAATTATTTTACTAACATTTAAACAATCGAACATTCTTTATGCAACAAGCAACATTACAAAGATGGTGAGACAAGACCAATATAAAATAAATTCAATTTTATCTTTAGACAAACATTAATCGGGAACTTAGAAGGTAATAATAAATAAGTAAGATTATTTCATTAATACTTAATTTGGACCTGAATTCTTGCTAAGTTCACGTCACCACAGGAACACGGATTTCAGAGTAGAGTCTGTGGATTTTGGAGTAGAGTTAGCTATTCAGACTCAATAATTCCCACGTGGAGAATCCTAGTATCGATAGTAGTATCAATAGTATTTGCGATATATCGAAATTTTATGAGATGCAAATATTACTAAGCGATTGGCTGCATATTTCAATGTTTTTCCAAAATCTTTTTTTTCTAATTCTAACTAAACGTTAAAGTACTTACATTTTATATCGCTATTAATACTTCAATAGATAAATGATTAAATATAGTAGAATTCTAAAATAATTTCTTAGAGAAACCGCACAGAAAACTTTTCTATCGCACTTATGTTCGTTGTTATTCTTATTTATTCTTATTTAATCATATTAATTATTATTTATAAGTCTCGGGAGGGAGCCATGATTTGGGTCCATAGGTGTGGGCCTTTATGTGGGCTGCTATCTTAGCATTGTGTAGAACTCTCGGTTGAGATCCTTGAGAAGGGTCCTTCGGTTTTGGCCCTTGGGTGGGTCTATTTATTTCAGTATTCAAAAATCGAGCTTGATTTTGATACTCCTGTTTTCGTCGGGTGGAGCGATATTCAATATGTCTACCTTTCGTTCTGAGCTTCATCATTATCATGTACACACACATTCTGTCTTATTTCTCTTCTCTTTCTCTCCTTTTTTTAATGTTTTTCTGTTCCAGGCTAGATCACCATGGAACGAACCCTAACTCTCCGGAACGAACCTTTTCTACCAATTTTTTTCCTCTTTCTCAATTTCTTTTGACTTGCTATAACTAATCTTTTTCTCTTTCTCACTAAATTTCTTTTTTCGCTATTCTTTTCTATCTCCTCTTTCCTCTGTTCTTTTCAGGTAGATCATCGAGGAAAGGACTATCGAGAGTGAGACCCTTGGGTGTGGGCCCTTGAGAGAGGCCTTGGGCGGGTCTCATTCTTTCAATAGGGAAAATTGGAGTTCAATTTTGATACTCTGGTTTTGATCGGTTCTAGCGATATTCAATATGTTCACCTCTTGTTTTACGTTTCATCGTTGTCACATGCACGCACGTTCCATCTTTCTTTTCTTCTCTTTCTCTTCTTTTCTTCTTCTCCCAGCTGGATCATCGAAGGATAGTTTCATCTGTGATCCGATGTATCATCGAATGATTCGGTTCATCATCGATTTTTACGCGAGAATACAGGATGAATAAGGAGAACTCGTTCGATGGGCACTGACGTGAGTATTCGCGGGCGCGATTAAATGTATAACTATAATGGACTTCATTTTATTGCTTGAAATTTCGAATTGAAGATCGATCATGTTAGAAAATGGTACATGTAATCGCCGATGTTGCAATGATACAGTTATTTGTAAGCGGGAACTGACCCTCTTCCAAATAGCATTGGGAGCCAGAATTCTCGGTTAACTCAAGTCATCCCAGGAATGCGGATTTTAGAGTAGAGTCATCGTTATTCTAACACTCACGTGAGTCGTGTCCGCGAGAGTGATTAAAAGGAATACCAAGGGATACCAGGGACTTTGTTTTATTTGCTCAAAAATTTGATTAGATTAGTTTGCAAACGCGAAATTTTAAAATAAAGTCACCGTTAGTCCATGGGTCTCCTCATATGCAGCAACTTTCACGCAATGAGATCTGGTTTGGTAGTATCTGCGATATATTGAAATATAATTCTAAATCAAGCAACACAAATACTACCAGACGTATGGCTACATATTTCAATGTATTTTCAAAATCCATTCAATTTAATTCTTGATTAAACACTAAAGTATTAATACTTTACGTTATCAATAATACTTCTTATAGTTAAGGCAAATAGATAAGATATAGTTAAATTTAATGATAATTTTATTAAATTTGCAAATTCATATTACTAATTATTATATGTGTTAATTATATTTATTATTCTTTATGTTTTTATTGTGAAATAAATACGTACCAGCGTCGTATTTAGCACGGATCACTGCGAAATACACGTTACCATCAAAGAAAGACATACATATGAGAAACTGAAAATTGTGAGTTCATAGTCTACTAAATTACTTTGTTATGTCGGATCAGAGAGGAATAACCAAATAAGCTTACATACCGATACGATAGACGCATGGTGGGGACAGCATTGGCGAATCGTTTGGATTTGTAGTTCATATTTTGTCCATATCTGTCGCTGAAATCACACACGCTTCCAATAAGAGATAGTGAACGGCCTTAATGTTCACAAAAAAGTTTGATTATGACATCCGTGATAAGTCGAAATGATTTTATACTGAAAATAACTACAATTACACCTTTACTTTTCTAATAATTGTCACACATATGTAAATATGTCATAATCGATGGTAAATATATCAGGGATATAGCTCATTATAAAAAATGGTGGAAAGAAGTGAGAGTGCAAGTTCCACAATTTTTTTGTTACATCATCCATTGCATATGACAATGAATGTATCCTGTAATATTTCTATAAAATATTAATATAAATTACGAAATGACTTTTCATTTGAAACATAAAAGTTTCAATAGAATTATAAAATTGAACATATACGCAGGTTAAAATTATCGTTTTAATTTTATTGAATCAAACACAAATTGTTGGTACGGGTTATCCATAGAAATTTATGTAAAACTATGCTAAATTCATTTCTAAAAAGAAACATAAATATTAAACTTTATGAGGAGAATCGTGCAATATCAAATTGCATTTCGCAGATACATTCTTTATCTTGTTAATTGTTATTATGCTTCTGAACAATTCTGTACAAATGTTAAAGAAGCAAAAAGGTAAAGATGACATACATATATTTTGCTCATATGCTCCACAAATGTATACATTATTAGACTATTAAGTCTGCATCAACTTGCTTTCCCAACCATTCCCTTTTCAATAGCTATAATAACAATAAAGAATAAGATAATCTGTACTGTAAAATGCTCAATGCATGAATTTTATTTTATTGCAACATATTCCATCCCTTCTTTTCTACTGGAAATATTTTATCTTTTTCTTTTCAGTCAACTTCCTTCGTTTGTTTCTTTTTTAGCTTTATCCTTGCTTTCTATAGCAATGTCTTTTACATCCGACATTCCAGAGTTCGATGCTTGATTCGTATCATCTTCAGATTCTTTACTACCATATAATTCAGGATAATCTGACATACATATTTGCATAGTTGTAAATTGCTCACGGCAGTCAGCACCTTTTGGATCCACAGTAGAATAATGAAAACATGAAAAAGCTTCACGAAACTCTAAACCACAAGGACCAGTTGCCATGCCACCTAAGCACGGGCAATTCCAATTTATTTCTCCATTCGGTAATATTAATCCTGGACTTGGTTCTGGTTCTGGAAGTTCGATTGTACAAGGTGATGCATGATCTTCTTTAGATGCAAAAATTATAGTGTCTTTACCATCTTGACGGATCAGAGGCATGATTGCGAACTAATAAAGATACAAAAAAAATATATATATATAAAATATAAGCAATGCAATAATATTAAAAATGTATAGAAATTTATTCATCTAGAAAAATAGCAAAGTTCACTCTACGTACCTAGTCTTTTTATATATTTACTTTAATGATGATAAAATAGATTTCAATATAGCTTGTAAGATGTATATTCTTACAAAACTGGTTTATATTTTCTAACTATACTTCCACAATTATTTTACGATACAAAATCTTGCATAAAAATTGTTTCTATGTCATTAAATAAATACATACGTTGCAATATTACATTACAAAGTTGGATGATTTTTGATGTCAAACTCGGTTTATATAATGCTTTTCTTTATGTATAAAAAATTCGTTATTGTAGTCCACAATTCTGGCAGGTTTCTAAAAATAAAGAATAATTATAATATTAGAGATATTGTATATTAAAAATTTAAGACGTACTTAATATAATTGTCAATTCTAAATAGGTATACACTATCTAGAAACAGGTTAAGTTATCAGAATAGTATTAAAAGAAGTTATAAAATGTTTAAACGTACTAATAGAAAAATGCATAAATAATACATAATACATAAACAGATTTACAGCGACTCACACGCTTACTATTTTATACTTCAATGAGAATTATTAAGCGTTAATTCACCATCTCTCAACAGACTAAAGCAAATCTTGCGGCATGTATCATGCTTTCATGTAATGTTATCACCCGGCACTTAGTTCACCCTTAAGGATCGTTTACAAAAAACAGTATATAATTCGTACCTAAAGGCTGTGTTACATTTACATGCATATATGTTACATAAATGCTACAATAGGATCGTAAAAAATAAAGGTGATTCTTCACGTTTTCATAATCTTCCTTCTAAAAATTTACTGAATAAAAGTATAAATATAATAACCTTACTTAAAATACAAAAACCATTTGATTATTATTTTAAATCGTAAGAATTCGTATATCTAAAATACTTATATAACTTGAAATTGACTTGTTCTATTTACCCAAATATCTATTTCAATCTATAATCTGATTGGTTCTCGAAATTTTATCGTTTGGACAAATTTATATGCATGTCCAAAATAAACCAATCATTACAATTCTGTTGTTGTTGGAAGTTATCGCTTTGCACGAATAGCAGCACCAGTCTAAATATCTATGACAGCTTCGTTCTCCGAAAAAATGGTGGCTCCACTGGAATAAAGAATTACCTACGAAGTACAATCAATCGTAGAGACTTAGAATTGGTTAAATATTCCTGTTGACAATGTAACTTATGCGAACGTTAAGATAAAACGAAGAATTTTCTTTCTTTTACTCACGTTGATAAGATGCCAGTAATTTCTGTTTTACAAAATTGTCCTTTTTATTAATTTATTAGTGAATTTCTTTATAATCATGATTTTTACTACCCGACAGTACAATATCCATATTGTATCCAATCAGATCTCAAATTTTCACTGTTTTCATCTTTCGCGAATATATCTTTATATAATGAATTTTTAATATTCTATGTATATGTATATGGACGATTAAATAATATTATATCATAAGTTAACCTAAATATTTCATTCTATTTTATTAACGATCATTAATATCATTCTGGTATCATACCTTTCATTATTCCATTTCTTTTTTATCATTCCATTTCATCTTTCTACTTCTTTTACCTTTTTGTAATTTATGAAGCCGAAAAGTCATGATATTATAAAGTCAACTTACGTTATATATATCTTTATAAAATAGAATTACACATTATTCCATCATTTAAATATTTTTATACTTTTCTCTTTGTCTTTTTCATCATGAAATACTTTTGCTTATATAAAAACTAACAATAGGATTAAGTCGACTGTAGCAAAGGCTTTACCGATTCCAAGGACTAATTAGACCGTCCGGCTACCACGTGTTGTATCATGGTCGACGCATAATTGCGCCCCTGTTAATGCATACGAAGGAATAACACGATAGGATATATTCCATCGTCGAATAATCGATCGAATTCGAAAGTACCCCATTATGTTATAAACTTGGTTTTAATGCTCGAACATGCTACCGTACTTACCCCATCCATTTAATCGATACTCCGAAGGAGGTAAGGGAGAAAAAAAGGAACGGAAAAAATTCTCACTTCGATGAACGTTAAACATCAATTTCGCTTTTACCAGAGACGACGAGTCATTTTAAATACATGTATGTAAATGTTTGCAAATAGTATCAAAAATGAATATTGGTAGATAAAAAGTGGGTTCTTTTTAGAAAAGTTGCATTAACATGAAATATAAATATATTTGGGTGGTATTGTACAATCAGTGATTCGTTCGTTATATACAAGAATTATGTACATTCCGAACACTATACTCTCGAAATACTTTGCTTGCTAAAGTGACACACACTCGAGAATCGACCAGAACTGGTCGATCGTCCATCATTATGCACATCCATTCATTATTATTCACGCATTCATTCATCCATAAATCGGTGATCCGCACGCCTCTATATATCCTTGTTATATATGAGCTCTTTTTTCTCACGTTCTCTCAGTGACGTTGCTTTATGCTTCCTCATTTCTTTTTTTCTTTTTTTTTTTTTTTCTTTTTACTTTATGTTCAATTCGCAATTATTAGGACAATTGCTCCCTACAGAAATACAATACGTCTTTCGCGAGTTAACAGTCAGCCTAAGCGGATTTTTGATCGTACTTTTTTTTCATTATTATTATTAATATTTTATTTTAATATTATTTTTGTTATTATTATTATTATTATTATTATTATTATTATTATTATTATTATTATTATTATTAATAATATTATTAATATTAATATTAATATTAATATTATTGTTATTATTATTATTATTTAGTTATTACAGGACTACTTCTCCGTGTTACAAACCATAACGAGGTATCGTACTTTAGACTTCACGACTACAGTTAGAGAATAAGCGTAGAAATGTATCACACTAGAGACTTGTACATTATCTTAACTGCGTTAGGTATGTTCGTTTTATTTTATTTTATTTTATTTTATTTTTTATTTTTTATTACTTTTTTTTCCTTTATACAGCATAGTAATTGGTTGGCTAGCTTCGACCCTCTTTCACCGAAATTTCCACAGCCCTTCGAAAAACAGAGAAGACGTACAATTCATATAAACGCAATCATGATTTTGGCAATTACCTTCAGAGAGCTCGAGGAGAGTCGATCCCGAGACGTTTCGAAACTATAATCAAGCGCTGGCAACGGAACGGTAATTAGCTTACCGACCTTAAAAAAGATTCTAATTTTGTGAGATTCTATCGTCAGGGTGGAGAAGAGGCGCAGATGGCGTTTTAAATTATATATCATCTTATTCCGCGAATCCAAGACTCGTCCCAATGCGGAAACGAACTTAAGAAAATTATGAAATTTAAAAGGAATTGTTGGACAGATGAACCTTAATATCGTAGAAAACTCGACTAGAATAATAACAAAATAAAATGTATAAAATGTTTGCATCATCATCATCATCATCATCATCATCATCATCATCATCATCATCATCATCATCATCATCATCATCATCATCATCATCATCACCATCATCATCGTCATCGTCATCATCATCATCATTATCATCGTTAATAAATAAATATTAATGATGACGAAAAGATGCAAAAATAATGAAAAAAAGAATGTACCTTAATAAAATGTTAGCTCTGTCAAATTTCATTGTTAAATTTCGAAGAGACTTGAAGAACAAAAACGAAAAGATATGAGAAGAATACAAAAGAAAAGAAGTAAAAGGAGTTATAGGTCAGAGGGAAGACATCTAGGACCACATAATTGCGGCAAGTCGAGAAAAAGAGAAGAAGTGCCTCGATATCGTCGCGCTGTCGAGGAGAAATGGAAGGCCTAAAGAGGGCAGAGAGCTCCTCGTAGCAACTCTAGCGGAAAGAGGGCTGACGAGCGGTTCTGCTCCCAATCGGCCGAAGGACAAAGCAAGGGAAAGAGAAAAAGAGAAGGAGAGAGAATGCATCCAGTACCTGCCATGAAAACTGACAAGGTGGGAACTACTTATTCAGGAATTAACAATAGGACAAAGGACATAACGAGGAGAATCGAAATTTTGTACTAGACGAATGAAGGCTCCTTCTCCCCTTTCACCGTTTTATCCTTTTTAACTGAGCATAACTTTACAAAATTGAAAAGAGAGGACAAAAATTAATACGAGGATTATGATAGTAAAATTGTAAAAATGAAAGCCACAAAGAGCAAAAGCAGAGAAGAGATTTTCAAGGAAAAAAAGAATCAAAATTAAATTAAATCAAATCAAATAAAAAGGTTTCAAGTTAAAAGAGAATAATGAAACGAATGGTAAAACTGCCAGTACGGCGTTCGATGACGGAAAATTGCATTCTTCCTGGCAATGGTTAAAACGGGAAACGATAGAGCCCGTATGTGGTAGACACACGTATCTCTCTCTC